ATATTTTAGCGGACTCTGTAAGTTTACTAGCAGACTGCTTACGTAACAATTTTAAATTATTTTTTATTATATTAAAATAAAGGGGGACTCTTTGAAACTCCAAATATATAATATACGATGGAATCCATCTCTTTAGAGAATATAAACGCTTAATAAAATTAATTTGTATATTATCATCTTTATCTCTCCAATCAAAGCCCCAAATTTCGGATCCATATAACACTACTGATTGAATAAATGACTCAAATAATTTTAATTTATCTTTCCAACGTACCAATCTACCAGATACACAAGCTTTAATAATCTTATCATTTCCAAAGGTCGCTTTACTGTGAATATACTTTAAATGTTTTAAAAAACGTCCATTAGACTGGAAAACTACACCCAGATACTTGCACTCATCAACAACATCTATTTTGCGATTTTGTAAAAACCAATTCTCATTATTAGAATGTTTTTCTCCATTTCGGAATACCATTATTTTAGATTTGTCAATGTTAACAGACAGTTTTAACTCCTGTAGTGTGTGTCCTAAAAAGTTAATCATTCTCTATAGACCTATAGGCGAATCTTCCATAACAACCAAATCATCTGCATATGTCAAGATTTTCACCTCCGTTCCTAAAAGATCAATCAATGCCCACCAAATTAGAGTCATTCAGTTTACTTACAAGTGAATACAAATATAAATTGAATAATATTCGGCTCAATACACAACCCTGTTTCACACCTTTTAACGTGAAAAATAGATCAGTCGTACCCTCCTTAGTAGACACTCACGTCTCTGTATTAGTATACAACTGAATCAAAAAGTTTACAAATTTATAGCTCAACCCAATCTTCAGAAGTTGACTCCATAAAAGATCTCTATCCAACGAATCAAATGCTGCCGTCAAATCAACGAAGAAGGCATAAAATTTACCTCGTTTCTTCTTTAAAGACTTCTGTATTAAGGCATATAAAACAAAAATATTATCCAATGTCGAAAAACCAGACCGGAAACCAATCTGAAAATCTAAAAATATCTCAAACTTATTCAGCCAAGATATCAAACGCATACATAAAATTTTACAAAAGACTTTAGAAATTGTCGGTAGTAACGAAATTACTTTATATTTATCAAGTAAAATCTCTAAGTCCCTTTTCAAATATAGGAATAATCTTACATATGTGCCAGTCTAAAGGAATTATCCCTGACTGATAAACATTATTAAACAGACCTACCATATATCCAATCAGATCTGGGAAATTCTTATATAGTTCCACCGGTATACCATCAATACCTGGAGCAGTACCATTTTTCATAGTAGCTAGTATCTTTTTGACTTCCTGTTCTGTTATCTCCGTGTCCAACACCTCGTCCTGCCAATTCGTACACCAATTATATACGGACATACCCGGTAAATATTTACTAGAATGAATTTTTTTTTAAAAGCTACCCAATCAAGATCTGGAAGTTCCCTGTATTTACTGTTAAATGAAAGACGTATATCGAATAATGGAGTTTACACTTAAAAATTGTGAAATTTTGTACGGAAGATTTCCGAAATGGTGTTAGAGCGAAAACGAAAGTAGTGTTGTACAGAGGATATCCGAAATTTTTAAACTGTGTTTTTGAAGTTCCGTGTTGTACGAGGTATAACTGTATATAGAAAATACATCGACGAATTGCCTAACTTTTCCGACTGTTAAAAAAACTTTTACAGTATATTTTTAATTATTATAAATAAAATGTGTATTGCGGCATCTGTCGTTAAAAGTTTTTACATAATTTTAATTATTATAAAATGGCAAATGACTTCATATTAAAAGTATTGATAGATTTCATTAAAAATTGTAAATGTTAATAACGAATAAAATCTTCATTAATTCTGACTCTTCTCGAGATATGCCTTATGACACCATTTTATCTCTTCACGTCCTTCCTTCAACCACCAAAATTTAACAGCATTAACGCCCTCATACACAAGCTTACCTTGCTAAATTTCGTTTATTCATCATTACACATTCTGAAAAAATAAATATAATAGATGTAAGCACGCATAAATCAGCAAATTTTTTTTTACTTCAAAAAATTAAAACACGTGGAGATTTGCAAAGAAACCGAGGATCACATTTCTCACGGTTCGAATACGGTAAAATTTCGCTTAACGCTGGGAAAGCGTTTTTAGAAAACAAAGTAGTTGACAGACTGAGTAGTTGACTGAGTAATTGACAGATTTATCGTCGCCCAGAGCAAACCGCTGAACCTAAACAGGTAAAATTTGGTACACGGTTATATGTATGTTATGAAAACGCACACTAAAAGATTTTTCGAAATTCCATGCGGAAGGGGAGGAAGAGAATTAAGGCTTAATTCTCTTAAAAGCTTAAAAGAGTAAGAGGCTTATCCAGAGGAACGGCTTCTAAGCCGGAGTTCCTCTAGATAAGCCTTACTCTTTTAAGCTCTGTACTCTTTTAAATGCGATTGTCTGTTTACAACTACATTTAGTCTTCATTGAGTACTTAGGTGTATTAAATTGATAACATTTCACACATTGTTATAAATATTTTCAGATATTTCGATTTTTTAACCAAATGTTAGAACCGTTTTAAATTGGAATTTGTTATTGCATAGTGGTTCGATTATAGAATAGTTGTAAACGTTTTAGAAAATTTAGAAAATTAAAAACAGTTTGTTTGATTCGCGGCAATTCTCATTATTCTCAGCGGTAGGTGTTATAAAACAATTACTATGGTTGCTGAAATACTGGACATAAATGGGGTTAACTTGTGAAACAACCGCAGGCGATATCGCGGGTAATAGCTAGTTCTTTATAATTCTTATACTCGTTGCAATCATTAAGTGAAAGACTTTTTATTTAACATTCAAAAATGTTTATGTATATTTTGGAATATACATTTTTCCTTTCCAGCATTTGTAATATCTGATATGTAAAGTTTAATTTTTATTTTTAGATTGTCTCTGGAACATTGTCTCCATTTTCCTCAGATGACAACATTTGACAGATAATGGAAGAAACGCTTTCCTGAATTCGTGTTTATTTGGAATATTTAATGACATTACTGGTTCTGTCTGTATGGCAGTATTTAATTTTAATTTATTCTCAGAAAATCAACATTTCATTAGAAATGCTAAACATATTAGCAGTGGATGTGTTTAGCATTTCTAGCTAAGCACATCCACAAGCAAATTAAAAAAAGCGGATGAAAAAAATATATTCCAAATGAGGATATAACAAAATACACTAGCGTAATCATGAATGATCAATATATAAATTACATGTAAACAAAAAAAATAGGATTTTTTTTGTTTACATGTAAAAAATTTGATCACTTTTACTGGAAAATCGCTCGACAGCGTCGATTGATGCCAAGAATATAATCATCTATGACGGTTTGAGATATCTGGCCATTCATCTTCATACACCTGAAAAAGCAGACCTGCTTAGATGTAAAAGATTCCGGGAAGGATCATGCACAAAAAACAGAATGTCTCCCAAGTATATCCCATATATGCTAGATGGAATTGACGTCGTGATTTCGCTGGCCATTTCAAAGGAAGCAGTGTTTCAGAATCTTATTACTGGTCGACAATGCGAACAATACGGACAATAATGGCACCAGGGTCCAGTGGTAGATACAGGGTATGAGCAGATCGCCCCCAAAGTAAAAAGTAAAGAAACACTAGTAAATTTTCCAAAAAAATTTTGTTGATTAAAATTCATATTTTATTTATATTGTGTCGTTTATTTGTATATTACTTAGAAATTGTCTGTCACATAAGGTGGGAATTTTATGGAGTTTGCATCAGAAATTTTTTCATCGATCAACTCGGCTCATCAACGTTAAACCCAGAATGCGCCACTGCCAGGGTCCATATAGGCGAAATTTTTGTGCAAGGATGTCGTCTCTATATCGCGCTGCATTTACACTGCTGCGAGGGAAGATGTGGAGAGTGGACATTAGAGTGGCCGCAGTCAGCAATTCCTGCCCAAACCGTTAAATTACCGTCAAAAAGCGAAAAACATCAAGTATATGGACTAACAACGGAAACGTTTATATTATCATATATAATGTTTATATTGTTTTATATATAAATAAAGTTATACAATAACTATGAATTAGTACTCGATCTTTTATACTGTAACGATTATTGTGATATTACAGAAATAACTTTAAACAAAATTATGATAGTTGCAATTTATAGAACTGCTTCTAACTGAAGCTCATATTTTGATATACCAAAATCAATTATTTTCACAAAAGTCTTACTGACTAATGATTATTGGTAATTATAATTTTGAGTTAATAAATGAACAATCTGAGTGTATTAATAAACTAATAACTTTAATTATTCTGAAAATTTAACAATAATAGCACATCATAAACAATCCACTCGAATGGATAAATACATTCGTTGGTTTACTATGGTTTAACCAAAGTTCGTGAGTTTAAATTTTCCTTTCATAAAAATTTACTTTTATTCCTGTTTTTTACAGTGGAAAGAATCTCTTTGGTTACAAAGACAATAAAGAAAAAAAGGATAATTAACACATACTCTAAAAAATGTCTATGGCTTACTTTTTATTCGTGTTTTTCATGGAATTATTACTACAATTTCGATTTCTTATCTGAACAGTCAGTTCATTATCAACTGAAAAAAATTTGCTATTTTTTTCCGAAAAATCGCCTGTGTACCAAATAATATATAGGCTAATTAAAACGGTTTAGTAAAAAATAAAATCTGAAAACCTACAAACAAGTTAAAGATCTATAAAAAGCTTGAATTATGTTTAATTTTGTATGTTAACTGTTTTTTCTGTATGTCTGTTATGGTCTATTTTTATTTTCTTTCTACACTAATAAAAGCTAATGGCTTACATCGTAAATAAAGTAAAAAAAAATAATTAACTTGAAACAGTATAGTTAAAAAAAAAACAGAAACGTGCAATACTTTAAATTTAATTGAAATTTATTCAATTAAAGCTTATCGGTTTTACAAATGTAAAATAGAAATTAAGTGCAACTTCGATGTTCAGATCTTTTCATTTCTAAAGCATTAAATATAAAAAATAACTTAATAAATTTGGTTTCTTCCAAATAATTTTCGCTATAAATTAAATTAGATGTATATTTCTACGACGATTTCACATATTTCGCGAACTGTAACTAAGCATCTTCACTAAATATTTAATTTTTCCTTTGTTATTAAATGTCAAAATATTAATAATCTGACATCTTAGTAATTAAATATATTTTGAAAATTATTTGTCCAGAATTAATTAGTCAAACGGATGGAAGTTTCTTTCGTGTTCTTTTAGTGAAACTTCGTCTGAAAATTGTTCACTACAAAACGGACATTCCAAATAATTTTCTTCAACGTCTATTTCTGGAAAAAAGTCCAGTTGCGACGATGATTCCAATTGAATAATTTCTAAATTGACGTCAACGTTTTCAAGAAATTCTTCACTTTCTTTTGAAGTGAAAAAATTATCTTCTGATGAAATTTCTTCAAATTCTATTGACTCGGGTATTTGAAAACTTGTTGATGGTTGTTCAAGCGATTCTTTCTGCTCTCGTTGAACGTCTTGTGTACTTTCCTGAAAGTAAATAACTTAAATAACATAACTGTACACAATTTACTAAAATATGAATTGTAAAAAATATGTAATATATAATTATATACTGTATTATATATTTGTAATGTTATAAAAGTTAACAAATTTTTAACCTGATTAAAGTAAAATATTTTATATTTTATAACAAAGTTGTTAATTTTAATTTTAAACAAATTTTGAGTAATCGGTAAACAAATATAAATGATTTTCCGTAAAGACAATTTATTAAATTATGTGAGAAGATAACGGCGTAAAATCAGACGATATATTCACGAGTGAAATACAGCAGTTGTTAATTTCTGTGTGGAAACAAAATAGTCGTCGTTTTTTAATTATTCCATAGATATTTCTGTAAATTCACAAAACAAAGAATTTCATACATTAAAGTAAATTTCCCTACACTTACATAATTAATTTGTATTTGAGTGTATATAACTTCATAATTATACTAATAGAAAAACAAACGAAATTCGATGTCCATAAATTGTCATTAAATCGTAATGAGTAAAAATGAAGTTTATTTGTGAAAATATCGATTTTCTGAAGTAACATTGTACTTAATAATTTGTAATTTGGAGAATTAATTCTAATATCTCGTGTTGAATTCATAAAGTGATATAAACGTTTCTTTTCCGGCTGCTAATCGAATGACTCGTAGTTTATACAAAAAAAAATTCTGTCTGCGCGTATTGATGGCTGATATTACACGAAAAATTCAGAATCGTTGTATATTTTTAATACAGAATTTTTCCTGTTAATTAAGAAAAACTCGGACTACCGAATTCAACAAATACACGTGTTTAGAAACTATACGATGAATGAATATTGAAACAATGTTTGCTCTTTAATTAAGTAAAGTTATTAATGTAATGTTTTCAGTGTATCACACGAAAGTGTGTTAAAAGTTTAGTCATTAACATATTTATATACTTACTTCGGAGCAAGATAGAGTATTTTTTTTCGGATGAGTCTTTTTCACGTGTCTGTTTAAACTACTTTTGGTAGGGAAAGTTCCGTTGCAAAAATTACACGAAAATGGCCGCTCTCCGGTGTGAGTTCTAATGTGAGTCTTTAAAGCTGCAGGACATGCACAAACTTTTGAGCAGGTGTTACATTTACGGCTTATTATCCTCGGGTCGTTCGGTAAAATCTAATTATTTAATAAAGTTTTAGTTTATTGTTAACAATTTACAGATTGTATCTGAATGACGTTTTAAAAATTTGGGGGATTGTAGATGAAATTTTGAACGTTTTGATATCAGGAACTTATAGCCGGAAATTTGAACTAAAGTGTCTAGAGCGGTAGGAAGTGCTTGACCGCCCTTCACTTTGGTAGATACTCTTCCGTCCATTGACGTCGTGTTATTGCTGCAAATGGATGACTCTAAACACACAACTACAGTGGTCTAACTGAACCTGTGTACAGGACGTTGTGTACAGCATTTAATACCATCAGAAGAGAGCCTGGCATCTTACAGAGTGTCGGACAAAACATGGTTTGTCGTTGCACATTATGTATTGAAATTGATGGTTGTCACATTGAACATTTACTCTAAAGTAGTGTAGCCACTGATTCGATGTACACTTTGCTTGTACTCTACCGTCTTGTCAATAAAACTTGTCATAAATACTGTATTCTGCTGCTTCATTCATCATACCGACTGCAAAGTGCAAAGTGCTGTAGAAACTTTCTATCACATTTCCGGCTATAGGTACCTTATATCAAAACGTTCAAAATTTCACCCTGCACAATTTCCGAAATTTTTATTTTCCCAAATTCAGACACACCCTGTATAAAAACATAAAACGTAACTTTTTAAACGCAAGAACTTCATGACAATTTTATATAATACAGTTTTCAAATGATTTTTACCATGTATTTCATTGTGATGATGTTGGAGTTATTTGTAAAACATTTTGTTCAAGTTTTATTAAATTATATGTATGGAAAATTATTTTACAAAAATAGAACTAACGAGGTGCTGCAGAGTAATTTGCTTACATGTTCTTATTGACACTAGCAATTACGCACATTACGAACAACTGTTTTTTGGAAATTTTTTCGACTGTAATCTGAATTTAATCTTAAAAAATAATAACATTTTATAATTTTAACGGTGAATTAATAATACAGCGAACAATAAAATAAATTTTTCTGGTGTTTTTCATTATAAAATGCAACCTACTAAATTAGAAAATAACAATACGAAGATGTATCAATTTTTATCAATGAGAATATCATTTATAAGAGTAATAATTGCGAAGAATGATTCGCTTAATAATTTAACATTGTTGTAATTAAAATTTTATATTAGTCAAATTTATCATAGGTTATTAGTTACACCGATAAATTTATTATGAATAACGTCTATCACATTTTATAAATGTTTATGTGTGATTAATTAGCAAAGGTTAAATACAGAAAACGGGTTCGAACAAAAAATACAAAGAAACGTAATTAATTTATGCATTTTTATCGAAGGTGAAAACTAATATAAAACAACGAAAATTTCCAACGCCAAAAGAACAATAATGGTATTTACAGTTGCTTATTAATATTATTATTTTAATATTTGTTCCTGTAAATAAACAGAGTTTCATCGATAATTGTTTGAAATATTAATTGAAGGTTTTATATTATCTTATACAATTATATTTTGTCTGTTTATTTTATAACTATTATCGCTTTGATAATTGAAAAATAAAAACGAAAATGAAAATATAGGAACTTGTTGTAATATTTACATTAGATAAAATATGATCAGAATGCCGTATGTACGTGTGTTGTTCCAACTGGGATTTACGTTTAAAGCTTTTTTTACAGTCATTGTAATTGCACCTGAACGGCTTTTCAACGGAGTGCACTTTCATGTGAGTTGTTAAATGACTCTTCTGCGTAAAGCTTTTTCCGCACAAATTGCATTGAAACGGCTTTTCTTTCGTGTGAATTCGCATGTGTACTTGCAAATGACATTGATGAAAAAATGTCTTCCCACATGTCGGGCATGGATGTTTTCTGTCCTTTTAAAACAATGCGTTGAATGAATATAAATAATTAGTAAAAAACATATATAAAAATTATTCTCGATAATATAAATTATTGTTACAATTTACAATAGTACGTTAATATTGTATTATTATGTAGTAATATTATAAGATTATGTTAATATGTAGTCTACTATCGATATAAAATTGAAATTGTTAGTTTGTGTTATTTCGTGAATTTGTAATAAAACAGTTTGAGAAATTCAAAATGTATTAAACGAATAAAATGAAAGATTTCACTCACCATTGTGATTTTACTTATTTTGATTCAAATATCAAATTCAGTTTATTAATTTCAAGACGAAATTTTGTTAAAACAGATTACAACAATGCACCGAAATAATGTAATTTTCTGATTTTTATGTTTTGATTATAGTAAGTATGTTTAATTGCGCATGTCCCCGAACCAAAAAATAATTGAAAACACAAAACGATATATGAAATATCTTTTGTATTGGAGAAACGCATGTGAGGAAACAAACAGAGTAACGCCATGACTGCTGTTTTCTGTTTAACTTATTTTTGAGTTATTATTATTGTACTAAATCTGCACAATAAGCAGTAATAGGAAAAGCACGGTTTAATAATACTCAATAGGAGTGTGCGAGTTTACACGAATGGAAAACCCTAGAATTTTTGGGTATTTAGACTGCCGAAATAAGGAATATATTCAAAATTATATTTTTCCTTTTATTGTTTTAAATTATTATTATTATTTATTTATTTATTTATGACACTAATGCCATAAGCACATTAAAAGTAGTTCGTTCGGATGAGGAGCTATTCAAGTACAATTATAATGGCTGTGAATATAGTTATGAACAGAAAGATCAGTTGAAACAATATACGTTTGCAAGACATCAGACGGAATTTTTATCCAACGTAAATGTACGAGAAGTTTCTACATTATTATTCTTAGGCCGTGAACACACACGCGTAATAATCGGCGTAAAATCTAGCATAAAACAGAAAGCATAAAAATTTTTCTAAAATTTTGGCTGAACAATAACTGAAAAAAGAGTCGCACATTGTCCCTACTTTTTACCCGCATAAAATTCCCCGATAAAGGGATGTCTGTTTTGTGATGTTAAAGTAAACACCTGGTTTTTATTCTAATAATGGCGACAGTGGCTACTAGCCCTAGACATTCTCCAATAAACGAAAAATAAATGAAATAAAAGACTGAATTAGTACGTATATTAAGAGAAACAAATTAATTAGTTTGCATTTTTTATTTACATATTTTTATTTACATCAAAAACTAACCATTGTGCAAACTATACACTGCAAATAAAAATGGTTTTAAATTTTATATATAAGATTTTCTAATTGTAATGTAAAATAACTGGTATTTATAGTGCACGTCAGTTTATATTACGTTTGCAAATTTGGAAAAATGGAAAATTATGTTGCAAATGTTTCGTTTATCACTTTTGGATGTTAATATGTAAATTAAATTTATTATTACGTTTTTAATGTACAAAATTCTAAAAATAATAAAAGTTAAATTTCAAGGTTTATCGCACACATTGTTAACAGCAATCATAAAATACAATACAATACATTCATTTATCTGTTATGAAACTGTAATGAAGGTGATTCGTACGTAGAAATGAATAAAATACAACTTGATCACAATAAAATCGTAAATCTAATCTGATTTATAAGTAATACGATGCCATATTTTTAGAGTCTACAATTCTACAATATAGAGTAAACTGCATTGCAACATGTTTCGTTACAGAAATAATGTTTGGAATTAGATTCTGGAAAATGACGATTTGAAAATTTTAATTTGTTTCACAAAAATATATATACATTGTATATGAAACTTATAAACAAAATATAAAATGATACAAAAATTTTAATTTCGTTTTGTGAATTCTTCAAAATATTTGAAAGCTTTCTGATTGAGCTTATAATAATCACGTTTCAGAAAATTTTGCAATTATTCCCATAGGTTTTCTATATTGTATTCGTTTTTTTGCTTTGAAGGGTTTGATTAATGTTTACATTAATCAGACCCTTCACAGCAAAAAATTCATTTAGTTTACCGACGTATAACGGAATAATTTCAGCTTCTCAAACACAATTGTAGATGACAGAAACTTTATTAAATGACTGTAAATATAATAATCAGCGGTAACCGTTTCTTATATATATTTGTCAGTCTATGTAGATAAATATGATAAATCGCACTTATTTAATTAATCAAATTTACCGAACATTATGCACAATAGCCACACCAGAAAAAGAAATTTGATAAATAGTAAATTTTTGTCGAGTAACATTACGTTCGAAAGTAACAAAACCGAGAGTTAATTTGGGAACTCAATCTCCAGTTAAACAGTTAATTTATTGAAATTTATCAAAATATTTCTTTTCTAAATAATGCCCGGAATGTATTTCAACTGTACAAAAATTTCGTTCATGACATTTTAAAAAATATGTTTTTATTATGTTTATATTCGCAGAACACGGTTTCGAAAACAACATAGAAAATATCAATTATAGAAACGGCGACATCCATCCAAAGAATAATGTGTCCAGCCCATCGGATTAATACAATCGAAAAAATACAAGGTAAGACGTTATTTTAGTTCTGTTTGTAAGATATTTTATGTAATGTTTTAAAAATTGTATATATAGGGGAGACCGGGGCAAGATCGGCATGTTAAGTTTACTTAAATTTTGTGTAATAAATACTGCTGTAAACTGAAAAAAAGCTTTGCATATTGTCTATTGAAATGTTTTCTTACTATAGAACTGGTTAAAATCAGTTTGGATATAAAAATAATTAAAATAATTATAACTTTACAAGAAGAGAGAAATTGACGAAGTTGCCCCGGGTATAGGGGCAAGATCGGCAACTTCTCTCTTTTTGTAAAGTTGTAATTATTTTAATTATTTTTATTAAAGTTGCCCCTGGTATAGGGGCAACAGTAATGGGGCAAGATAGGCACGTATATAAAATTATGTTATTAACAATGTATAAGTTGGAATTCACTATTAAAACAAAGAAATACAAATCCAACACCCATTTAATATTATTACAACGAAATGCAAGTTCAAAGACATATATACATGAATAACAAATGCAAACATGTTTTCATTTATCATCTGTTTGATTTTTATCCTTTGCTTCTAATGTGGCTTTATGTTGCCGATCTTACCCCGCTAGTCATGATTTCGAAACATTAAGTACAACCCTGAGAACAGAATGCCAAGCCACGATCTGGCCACGTGAATAAGTTGAAGTTACATCCTTCTAACAGGAAAAGTAACTTTCGTTATCATGGAATTATAACAAAACCTGCCAATTCAATATAAATGGAAAAAAAATATTATATGGAATTGAACGAAAATGAAAATTTGCTTGATAATTCAACTACGCTTGTTGGAGAACAATAAAAACACTACACTCAACAAGCCACCAATAAAACTCAACTGCCTAACCTATAACCAAAGTCTCTTTTTATAAAAAAAGCGCTTGACAAACTTGCCCCGCATGCCGAAGTTGCCCCGGTCTCCCCTATTTGTTAGTTGACTGATGAGGGGCTTTATGCCCGAAACATGCTGTTGTCACGTATCAACTAAAATGATGGAAATAAAGCCAAGTGTTTATTTATAACTCAATGTGAGTTCGAAATCCAAATATGTTTTTATTTACATATAAGAATTTAAAAAAAAATTAAACGCTGAAAATAACAGAAAATTCGAATTTTGTTACTAAGATCAATTTCTCACAGGAATCACAGGAAAGAGAACGACTAACTAGAAGTAAGTCGCATACTTCTATTATTCAGCAGAAGGAGATTCGAGACGTTACAAGTTGAAGAGGCTTTTCCTTCAAGTTATTTCACCGGTAAACAATACTTGATAAATAAATAAAAAAGACAACGTAATAAGATAATTTCAAATAATTTTTTTGGGGGCCAAATTATCAAAAACATTTTTATTATTTGTGCTTGATATAAATATTCAAATATTAGTAACTTCTGATCAAATTTCTATTTAATAAACAGCGTTTAAAGAACTAAATATCAATAAAATTTTGAATGAAAATTTGTTAGACTTATAATATTTATTACAAATATACAATAATTTTTCACAAAATATGTCGAATAAATAGCCACAGCTTTTTAATGAAAGAACCCACAGGATGCCAGCCGTTTAAGCACTCTATACTATGTGTTTTAACATAAGAATAAACAAAAAATTTCACCTGGAGTAAACAAAATAATAGTAGTTTCACAGAGAATTTACTTACACACACATATACAGTTTAAGCCTATATATTGAAAAACACTAAGATCTTTCTTTATAAACTTTCCTTATATAGTACATTCTGAGTAAACACTGTACTGTCTTTTAAAAGATTTCCTTGTCGTCCTCGTTTAGTAATAGACACTTTAATATTGTTCGGATAGTTGACGTTCTGATTTCTCTTCTGTACTCCTTGACATAACAATGTCTTAATTCCACGTTGATAAAACAAAGATAAACTGAACTCTTTTTTTATACTCGTTAGATCGTTACTTCCGCCTACATAAAATTAGAACGATTTGTAAAATATTTTATTTTTTTACAAGTGACACAATGATGCTATTTTTTTAAAGTTTAAATTTTAATTTTAATGCAGTTAGTTTAAAATACCGCATGTGCCAAAAATTGTAGCATTAAAAAAATTTCTTTTTCCTGCACGAACGTTACGTGTTCATTAACATCACTGCAACGTAAGATAATTCAGTGATACAAAATCGACATAACGTTTGTTCTATAGCTAAAATTTATACAAAATAAATAGCCCTTACTTTCTCTCAGAAAATAAAATGAATATAACTAAAAGTTTCTCTGGATTAAACAAAAGTCACACACACAATCATACAGTCTACGTCTTTTAGGTTAGCAATTCGTAATTCTATCAAGAATTGAATTTTTCACGTATTTTTTCACAATTTCACATCAAATCTAAAGTTTTAATGAAATATACCAGATCAAAATTACAAAATTTTTAAAAGTATTTTAAAATCAATTGTATACAATTTTGAAATATGTGGCTAATAATGATGTATGCGCACATTAATATCATTTAAAATAACGTTAAAATTTTGTCATTAAGTTTTTTTCATATAAATTTCCATGATTGAAATCGTCTTCCTTAATATTTTCAGTACTTAATTGAATAAATGCCGTTCGTTGATTGTATATTTAATTAGTGTGTTACAATATTTTAAACATTTGTATTAAGTACGAATAATTAAATTTATTTCGATAATGTGCCGAATAAAGAAAATGTAATTAAAATTTTTTTTGATTAATCTTCTTATCGTGTTGATATTTCTTCATTTATTTAAGAATTATTGTTGAGAAGAAGGCTTATCCTTATGAAAAGGCTGCTGGTCAGCCTCTACCATCTCTAATTTCTTTTTCTTCGATCCTCCTTCTCTGGCTGCTTGTGCTTCTTCGTTGTCTCTTTTTTCTGATTCCTGTAAGAAGAAATATCATTGTGATAAAATTAGAATTTTTGTATTAATTTTAATGTTTTATTTTGTTAAAATTCTTATACTTAAATACAAATATTTTTAAAAAAATTTCATAAATGAAATTTTCTTTCATCAAAATATTTTCTGAGCATTATTACATATAAAAATTGTTTACAAATTTCATAAATATCATAAAATTCTCGTCTTTTCTCTGTTGTAATAAAATGTGTTGTAGACGTAATTTATAATAAAATGAAGTAATAATGTATTGTATTTTATTAATATTAAAAAGATTTAGTAAATAGAAGAAAACTACGAATAATCTGTTTCAGCTTACTATTAAAATTATGTGTAGAAAAACTCCGAAATATTACATTAAAATAGTATACAACTTTAATAATTTTTACTGTTTATTCAACTATAATAAACATCGTGACATTTTTAAGTAAATAATTTTTTTTTTATTTTGATTCGTTTTGCAAAGGATGAAATTATATTTTTCTCCAAGAGTACCTTTGTACTCCATACTTCGCGAAATCGATGTTTTACTTTTTCACTCACGAAGAGTCTAGGATATGTACCAAGTATCACTCTGTATATTCTGTTTAGTCACATACACAAATAGTTTTATGGTATACAGCTGTAAAAAATGTCCCTTATTTGTTCCCAAGTGATAACACTCGGGAATTTTAGCAGCTAATATTACAGCCAATATATATAACGGATCTCTTCATATCCTGTTCATATCTCTTGTTCTTACATTACTGCATTCTGTATTTTCGGTATTGCGAACTTCAGCTGCGATATTTTTTCAATTTCGTGGCTTAAACTTCTAATTTTTTCAATTTCGTGGCTTACACTTCTAATTTTTTCAATTTCGTGCCTGATCTTCTAACACTTCATTCGCATTTGCTCGCTTCTTCTCAATATCTTTCTGTTTTTGCAGTAGAAACACTAATCACTTCCACACTACACTCTTTTTACATTGACGAATTAGGGATAGTCACATCAGGATTTGTGAATGACGGCTGTTCATTGTCAATAGTGTTTTTAAAATATATTCCTTGAATCTTTACAATTAGCAGTGACGTTGATCTAATAATTCAATTATTAGTTGAAGCTAATCTTCGGTGCAACTAGCATTATTAAGGAATGTTGTCTTCAGTCTAAAATTAAAGTTAAACCAACATGGTTACATCAGTCCTATTTAATTCCTCGATAATGTAATCTGTTCTTCATGAACTGCACAATTTTGTAACTCTAAAAAAATATTACTCGACGAGGCTTTACTATTTATTAAATTTGTTGCATTCGAATGGCGATTGTGCGTAATGTTAGGTAAATTTGATTAATTAATTAAGTACGATTTATCATATTTACCGATATGAACTGACACAAATGGTAAATTATATTTACCGCTGATTATGTGATTTACAGTCGTATAATTAAGTTTCTTTCTTTTACGATATTGTATGAGAGACAAACTATGGTTTGTTGTTAGGCCATTTACAATGATTTTTCTGCTGTAAATGTCTGAATAAAGTTTATATAAATCATTTGCGATTATGCCACTATCTCAGCTAAATAAAATACTTGATTCGAAGTTAATCAACGAACCATTAATTACACTAATTATGTTACAAGAATTTCATAGATTCGAACAGTTAATTGTAAACTGTTAAATTTAAATCATAAACCAAAATGTACAATTCTATTTAATTAAAACATGAATTCTTAAAAACACAATGCGACGTATTAGCTTGTAAAACAAAAAGGAAGCAAAAGAAGCGCCGACCTCGCTAATTTAATTCAAAGGTTGTCCAGTTGTAAACAACATGCAAGGTGAAGTAATCAAGTGGGTGACACCATCAACCGATCCAAGCTTACCTGGGTTACAGCTCTTTGCAATGAAGATCTGTAATTGGTCTGGATTCCTGCCCAAAAAGTCCTTAAGTTAGAGAGCGAGCAGGAGAAAGGGTAAGAAAGTGCTCTGATCTGGTAACAGGGAAGTCTCATACACTTGAAAAGTTTGCTGAGGTTAGAGAGAAAGAGAGAGAGAGAGTATACTCCCCTATCTCTCTCTCTCTCTTTCTGCGGGATATCTCAGGGACAGCTAAATGCTGAAACCGGACGAACCGCGGAGTAGAGCAAATGTACAGGCTGACGAGGACCTCTCCTAAACTTAATCGTTCTCGAAATCCAAACTAGTACGTGAAGCACCACGCTTTGAGTATCCTGTGTTTTCTGTATTTCCCAACTCGTGTAGACTATATATATTTTGTAAATAAACTGTACATACTGTCTGTCTTGATTGTGGAAGTGAACTTTCATCGAGCCTACATCAGAACAATCTCTATTCGTACTAAATGCGCGAACCAACTCCAGAAGATGGAGTTTACGAGGTAAGTTCACTCAATTAAAACCTGAATTCTTAAAAGTGCAATTTATTTCTAAAGAATGAATAGAATAAGTACCGTTGACGTGGAAGGAATGTCTTCAATATGACACTGTTTATGTTCTAACCATTTCTCATTCGAGCGAGTGCTGAAGGAACATAAGTGACATTGAAATACTATTACCGACAATCTAGGTTTATCGTCTTTGTAGTCTGCTTTACATTGTTCATCGTCCTTGTTGTCTTTATTTGAATTTCGTTGTGCGGACAATATTTTATTAGAAGACGTCTTCAAAAATTCTCTTCTTCACTCTGTTGTTCAGATTGCTTGAAAAAAAATTATCAATGATGAGCAAACCAGCAAAACAGTTTTATATTATTTCTGCATTAAAGCGAAAAACTGTAATTATTAAAATTATATAATTCTTATATATACATATTACATAGTTATAGTTTATCATACTGGATCTATGGTAATGGATATATTTAGGATAGTTCTAATTTGACACGATAATCTATTTTTTTATCTTTGTTTTCGTTATTAACTTAACCTAACATGGGAAAAGGAATCTAAACCAATCGGAACCCTTAATTCGCTGAAATACTATTTAAACTGTGTACTCAAAGACAGTGGAATTTTTCCTAAATTCTTCAGCTTATTCGCTTCCTGCTTTCTCCTTTCGCTTTTGCTTAAAGTTAGTGCAAGTTCTAATATTTTGTTATCGGGTCGTGTGTTACGGCTACAGAGACGAATTACCTTGAACTATTTCCAGCGCATTTCACCTAAAGATACAGCGAAGAGTCTTTAGGTCACTGTGTCTTGTGAGTAGACACAGAGACCGTTACTTTCTCATTTAGGCGCGAGCAGTCGCGTCTGTGGGTTGGACTCGGGATAGAGACCGCTTGAGAAAGTGCACCCAACACAATTGTACCAATAACAAAATTCGCTTATTAAAGTAGTTCTACAAAAATGTATTTTCCCTAAAGTTTTTTCGCAAGAACCGAGTTGAAGAGAGAGAGCTTACCTAACAACGCGGGTCGTTATAAACACCTGAAGCACGGTGTACGGATTTCCAGATGTCTGTGGAGTTGTTGGGGAGCCTAGAAAATGTCTCTGATGTTTTGGATGGCGGTTAAAGTCTATCGAAAGTTGAGCTCCGTTAGTTCTTCATAGGTGTTCCGCAGAAACACAGGATATTCGGGAGGAGCGCTCGGCGACGCACGTTGATGATAAATCCTTTCGGCTGGCACACAGGGAATACTCTCGATGACTCTTGACCCATTACTGTTCCTTGAGTTCTCCTCTTTATTTCCAAGTCATGTTGTCGTTTTTTACCAATAGTGAATTTTAAGTTGTAGTTCCCAGTGACACATTCTGAGTTCCCTGGGAAAGGTAACGACTTCAGGAGGAGAAATGCACTCATCCTCTGGTAATAAAATGGAATTTTTTTTCTCTGAGATTTAAATAAATTTCTTTTTCAAAACGAAAAATGAATTTCTTTTCGTAAAATTTTTGAATAAAATTGTGGGCTCCTTTCCAAGTCCGACCTTTCACATACTTATTGATTTATCTCTTATAAAATGGAGTAAACGTTTGCTATGTTGGGCGTTTTGGAAAATCCCTTTTGAGTGTTCAACAGTACACCAGCAAACATTCTAAAATTCCACTGGCCTTGATAATTTTTTGCCAATGTAGAGATGTTTTGATTGCAACGCAGCATGTGTTCGTCACTGACAGCCTTACCAAAATTGTCGGTAAGAATCTTAGGTGGCATCCACGACATGCATTTTAAGTGACATATTTCATACTGTATCCTTATAAAATTGTAAAGGTTCATTCACAATTTCGCAGTAATTTGGAAGTTTCTGATTACCCAAGAAATTTTGTGCAACATCTTCGATTGACTTTGATTTTGACTTTTGAACCGCGCTTAACAATCTTTCAAGTTTTTCGTTTTTAATTAAAGTACTTATTTGTAAACCAACGAAAATTCCAGATTTGATTTCAGCATCAGTTATATAGAGAAATTTTTCCATCAAATAATGATATCTAGCATTGTTTACGATCATTACATTGATAAAGTTTTTGAATAGTCTTAACTTTACATGAAGTGGAGGTAGAAGAACCATGTAACCATTGACTAATGATGCATAACGATTTTATTCTGGCCAAAAATAAGCATTTCAGTCGTTGGCCATTCCTTCTTGAAGTAATGATTTTTCTTGTCTCTGCTGTCCCACCCACACAAGAAGCATTTAAATTTAGTATAGTCAATTAATAATGCAACCATTTTTAAATCACAACATGTGATTCAATTGTACTTTTGGTAATGACTTTTTTTAAAGCACGACTTTCATATTTTCATAGCTTTTTTATTTTTTTAAATAAGCTAATGGCACAGAAGTAAATTTTTTTCTATTGGATAAAAGGACAGCCTTAAAACTAATTTTAGACGAATCAATGAAAAGTCTCTATTCTGTGGTACTCTGTTTATTATCAAGTGCATTCACCAGAGCACTTGTATTATTGCAATAAATTAAACCACTTTCTTTACAATACTAATGTTGAAAACCATCTTGACGATTATGAAAAGTTGTTCGATGAAATAAATGACAACCGTTTAGTGGAGAAACTAAAAGTTCAGCCTCTATTTTAGACACGATTAGATGCCTAAGAAATTCATTTAGCTCACCTCGAGTTAATAAGTGGAGTAAAGGCGTTAATTTCCGGCTATAGGTTTCTTATATGAAAACGTTCGAAATTTTATTTTATACAATTCCCCGAATTTTTAAAATGTCATTTTGATACACCCTGTGTATGAGCCATCGAATAACATCACTCCTTGCCACCTCGTGCTGAAACTAGAAACTTACGTTACTGAAACCGGACGTTTCCAGTGACCGATAAGTGACTGCTCGTCGGAGAAAGAGCCGAATTAGTGCTGGACTCTCCATATAAAAAGAAGAAGTTGAGATTTTTCAAATAATTTCAAGTAATTATTGTAAGCCTTTTAAATGTTTCGGTGCCCCACATTTTACATACTCACCCACATCACTCATCCATTTCAACCCAGAGACGAAAAATCTAACCCAATCCGATAAAACTGGAAAACTAAATGAAAACTTTTCTTGGCACACATATCAAAATACCTTACTTTAATAGAATATTTTATGCTGTTACTTTTTAACAAGAATTATCCTGTTAATTAGGAAAAAACTTATTTTCTGGGAGTATCGAATGAAACAAATATACGTGTTTAAAATATATGCGATGAATGAATACTGAAACCATGTGTGTCCGTTAAATCAGTAAACTTATTATTATACTTATATACTTACTTCGGAGCAAGATAGAGCTTTCTTTTTCGGATGGAGCTTTTTCACGTGTCTGTTTAAACTACTTTTGGTAGTGAAAGTGCCGTTGCAAAAATTACACGAGAATGGCCGTTCTCCAGTGTGCGTTCTAATGTGAGCCTTTAAAGCAGCAGGAGACTGACAAACTTTTTCGCAGATGATACATTTACAACTCATTAACTTCGGATCGTTTAATGGAATCTAATTATTTAAAAAAGTTTTAGTTTATTGTTAACAATATATAAAAACTCAAAACGTAAGTCATTAAATACAAACACTTTATGATAAAGCTTTTTAAACATGCATTTCAACGACTTATTTTATTGTGATGAGTTGTAATTTAAACTAAAAACTTTTGTGTAATTTTTATTAAAATCTGTGTTATAAAATTATTTTTAAAAAATGCGTCTAACAAGGTTATGCAGAGTAATTGGCTTAAGATCTTATTATTAACATTAAAAATTGAACATATGCTTATAAGAATCAGCCGTACACTAGGTGTTCAGCCGGCAGAAAAGAGGGTAAGAGAAAATGTAGGGGCAGAAGGAGGGACAGGAGCTAGACAGTATAGAAAGATAGGATCCCTCTGAACGGCGTACTGTACATATGGCTACAGTACCCTCAATGTTTGATGTTGACGTGCAGTTTTTAGGCTGCAAAGCCGTAGTGTTCCGAAAGGTCTAAGAGGAATCCCGAGTGTAGCGAACACCAATAATTGAGTACCGCCACGAATAGCTAAGTGTAAAAGTTAGTGCCAAGTGGCTGTTAGTAGGAAGACTTATATCTATTAAATACTGATAAAATTGAACGTGATCGCGAATCTTAATACTACTGACAGCTAGACAGACAGCGTGAAAAGCAAACGAACACAATGACGAACTAGACGAGACGAACGAAATGGGAAAGGCAAACAAGCAAGACACGAAAATTTTGTCGTTTTATTTTTATTAATTAAATAATTTATTATACATTAACTTACTAACTAAACTAACTTACTATAACCTAAGACGAACCTAACAAGATGACTAAAGCTAAGAAGCGCTAATCTATTTTAATGTAAAAATTTAACAAGAAACCAAGCTAAGATTCCCGAATCTATCTTACAACTAGGACCAACCAAATTTAATCTGAAGAGATAAAGAAACATTAAAATACAAAGTTGAATGGCAATTATATACCTTCTGTTAAAATAAAGCAAAGGAAAACTGATTGATGGTTTGCACGAATGGCTTCTAAAACACTTACTCCAGAAGCCAACCATGCTTTCGGAGTGATTGCTGTCAGGAGCCCCACAAAGAGTGATTTACGTTCTGTTATAAATTTCTTTGCATCAACTATCGAAATATAAGAATAATAATATAAAAACTTTTCGTAATATTTACGTTTGAGAAAACTTGGTTAGAATGAAGTACGAACGCGTGTTGTTTCAACTCATTTTTCCGTTTGAAGCTTTCTTCACAGCCATTGTAATTGCACTTGAATGGCTTTTCATTCGAATGCACTTTCATGTGAAATGTTAAATTGCTGTTAGTCGTAAAGCTTTTTTCGCACAAATTGCATTTAAACGGCCTTTCACCCGTATGAGATCGCATGTGTATTTGGAAATCCTGTTCACGAACAAATGTCTTCCCACATCTCGGGCATAGATGTTTTCTCTCCTTTTAAAATAATTCGTTGAATAAATATTGAATAAATATAAATAATTAGTGAAAAACGGAAATAAAAATTATTCACGATAATATAGGGGAGATCGGGGCAAGATCGGCATGTTAAGCTTTACTTAAATTTTGTGTAATAAATACTGCTGTAAACTGAAAAAAAAGCTTTGCATATTGTCTATTGGAATGTTACCTTACTATAGAACTGGTTAAAATCAGTTTGGAAATAAAAATAATTAAAATAATTACAACTTTACAAGAAGAGAGAAATTGACGAAGTTGCCCCGGGTATAGGGGCAAGATCGGCAACTTCTCTCTTTTTGTAAAGTTGTAATTATTTTAATTATTTTTATTAAAGTTGCCCCTGGTATAGGGGCAACAGTAATGGGGCAAGATAGGCACGTATATAAAATTATGTTATTAACAATGTATAAGTTGGAATTCACTATTAAAACAAAGAAATACAAATCCAACACCCATTTAATATTATTACAACGAAATGCAAGTTCAAAGACATATATACATGAATAACAAATGCAAACATGTTTTCATTTATCATCTGTTTGATTTTTATCCTTTGCTTCTAATGTGGCTTTATGTTGCCGATCTTACCCCGCTAGTCATGATTTCGAAACATTAAGTACAACCCTGAGAACAGAATGCCAAGCCACGATCTGGCCACGTGAATAAGTTGAAGTTACATCCTTCTAACAGGAAAAGTAACTTTCGTTATCATGGAATTATAACAAAACCTGCCAATTCAATATAAATGGAAAAAAAATATTATATGGAATTGAACGAAAATGAAAATTTGCTTGATAATTCAACTACGCTTGTTGGAGAACAATAAAAACACTACACTCAACAAGCCACCAATAAAACTCAACTGCCTAACCTATAACCAAAGTCTCCTTTTAATTTGTTTTTTAAAAAAAGCGCTTGACAAACTTGCCCCGCATGCCGAAGTTGCCCCGATCTCCCCTAAATCGCGTCGTTGACTGATCATATCCCAATGAACATAATTTTTAATTGACGAATAGTTTGTTTTTCTAGGGGTGAAGACGAGAAAGCTTTCCAGTCGATGGCGGAGTGTGTTTTGTCTACAAAAAATCGAACATTTTTTCATATTATTTGCTGTTTTATTTAGTATATTATGAAATGAATACATATTATTTGAGTATATATAGTACATATTATTTGAGTGCATTATAAAATAATAATTGAGTACATTTACAAAATTAATTTTCGTTACAATCTCCAAAATACACCATTCACCTCGCGGAGTAATAAAAACTTTAACTTATCTGAAAACTTACAACAAATTTGTGATTAAAATTTAATTTTTATCAAAAATATTTTAAATTATCGCTCACTTCGAGAAGTAATAAAACTTATCTGAAAAATTACTTACAACAAATTTATATGAAACAAATTAATTTTGTTATTAGTATATAAATAAATATTATCACTCACTTCGAGGAGTAATAACTTATCTAAAAAATTACTTATAAAAATTTTATCATATAATTAAAACATATATTAAAATTTATATGATTTAAAAATAAATTTTGTGGTTAGTATGTGTCATATTAATTTTGTGATTAGTGTATTATATGTATACTACTGATGTCAATGGACAAAAGGGTAGCTACCAGAGTGAAGGGCGGTCAAGCACATCCTACCGCTGTAGACACTTTAGTTCAAATTTCCGGCTATAGGTTCCATATATCAAAACGTTCAAAATTTCATTCTCTATAGTCCCACAAATTTTTAAAACGTCATTCTGATACAACCTGTATAATAATTAATCACAAACTATTTCACTTCAAAAGTAGTTCTAGGGATCACTGACCATCTGACAAAAACGAATATGGCAATGGTACACTACGTTTAGAATTGCATACATTTTGCTGAAATAACAGTCTGGTCAGCTTTCACTGACGTTTCCTTTCGCCCGTTAATCAATAAGCACCGGGTATGAAATATAATACAGTATTTACTTTGGCAAAAGATAAACAATTTCTGAAAGATTATAAAACAGAACTTTTATAGAAAAAATAACATTATACATATTTCGTTTCTTCAAAGAATTGCTGGTGGTGAAATATTGCTTATCACTTAATGCCTTTGATAGGTTCTTGGAAATTATGATGTAAACGAAACCATGTATGACGGCACCAATTTTACTATAAGTTAAACCATATAAACAAGCTATAATGTGCTAAATATTATTCATATTGAATGGTGTTTGCTACTTCTAGCATAAAATTTACACATCGTACAATCAATTTTACTATATATAAAGAAAATTCGACAATAATAATAAACAGAAACAACTATACAAATAAAGAAACGAGTGCATTTATCAATGAATGCAAACGTACAATACTATTCTTAAAGAAGCTAAGCGAGGTCTTAATCTATTTTAAAAATAGATTTAATTGAAGATGTAAAATATAATTCGAACTTTACCATTTTCAGGTTCGATTTAAAAGAAATTGGAAAATATGGCAAAGTCATGTCTTTCTACGCCTTGCATTTTGTAAATGATTTTAAGAAGTTGTTTTCTACTGTTTTTTCATTAATGAAGCCAGGAGGATATTTTTTCTTCGTTTTTATTAGAAAATGTCCTATGTTTTCCATCGTACGGGAGCTAAGTACCCACCAAGAATGGATGAAGTATATAAAGGTATTTGTACGTTTGTATAAAATTAGTATAAACTACATTTTTACAACTATTTCGACTAGAAAGTGGTTTGAGTCACTCGGTGCTCTCCTGTAGCATTTTCTTGGAGTGAGTTTCTGTTATTTGACTAAACGGATGTAGTATATTTAGTGTGTATCGTACGATACCATCCGGGAATAGCCATGCTTATTTGGCTGCAATTTTCAAATTACAGACATATACATTCTTTTCGTTGTTTGTCTGTCTCTCTGTCCTTCGAGAGCGGAGTTAGATCTCTTGAGAGATCTCTGTACTTGGAATTTGAGACTTGATACGGAAAGTTTAGGAACTGGACATCCGATTAACTATGTACGAACTAACAATTTGGACTGGAGTTCATGTAAATTTTCAAATTAAAAGATGATTAAAAATTGCATCTTGCATTGTGATCATGTCACAATAAACAATTATTATTCGTTCATATATATATTTTGATGGAAAGAGGGATGANAAAAATATTATATGGAATTGAACGAAAATGAAAATTTGCTTGATAATTCAACTACGCTTGTTGGAGAACAATAAAAACACTACACTCAACAAGCCACCAATAAAACTCAACTGCCTAACCTATAACCAAAGTCTTCTTTTAATTTGTTTTTTTAAAAAAAGCGCTTGACAAACTTGCCCCGCATGCCGAAGTTGCCCCGATCTCCCCTAAATCATTGTTATGTATTACAGTATTATGTTAATATTTTTATAATATGTGTTCTATCTTCGATATAAAATTAAAATTCAAAGTTTATGTTATTTTGTAAATTTTCAAATAAAACAGTTTGAAAAATTTAAAGTATAATATGCACATGTAATGAAAGTTTTCACTTACCATTATTATTTCACTTCTTTTAATTTTCTTATTAAATTTTGTTTTTTAATTCAAAGTCGAAATTTTGTTAAAATAGAAAACAACAATGCACCGAAATAATGTATTTTCTCCATTGTCATGTTTTGATAATATTAAGCATGCATAATTGCGCGTGTTTCTGAATCTAAGAATAATTGCAAAACAGAACGATATAATAGATTGTCTATTAATGAAATGCATGTGAGGAAACTAACAGAATAACGCTATGACTTTTGTTTCTTGTTTAACTTATTTTTGAATTATTATTATTTTGCTTTTTCTTCCCTATACTCTGGAATAGTAAAAGCGCGGTTTGATAATACTCAATAGAAGTGTATGAGTTTACAAGAATGGAAATGCCTACAATTTTCGGGAAATTTGCACTGCCCAAATAAGGAATGTATTCAAAATTATCTTTTTACTTTCTTTTTTAAATTATTAACGTTATTATTATTTATATATGACACTGTGGCCATAAGCGTATTACAAGTATCTAAGACAAATATATAAATACACTATAACAAATCCACAAAAAAAATAATGACAATAAAACAAAAATAAAACAATCAACATACAAAATCGATCATGATTGAAGCTGCTGATACCATCTTTAAACTGTTTGTAAGTTTTCTCACGTTTCTGTTTTTTTTTTTTTTTTTTAGTCAATTCCAATTGTATAGCATTAGAGAAATAGCACAGTTCTTTAGTTCAGAGCATCTAATATTCAAATGGAAATGCCGGGAATTCGGACGGACGAAGTCTTTATCGTGATTCATTTAGGGTCATTCTTTTGCTACTCCAATGCCCACGTTGGGTGACGATGATTGTTGCTCCAATCCGCGATTTTGCCTTAGTTTTTCTCGGTGAGTAGGTTTTGGAACCTGTGTGACTCACAAAAGAAGTACCGTCTGTGTGAAAAGATTATGAAGTTCTTTAACTATATCCATGTCATGGAAAATTTGTCTTTTATTGTTTATGATAAAATGAAAATCGTTAAACTATCTACAAAGATATATATATATATATATATATATATATTTGTGAACCATATCAACTAAGCTTCAGAAATCTGATAAAATATATGCCTGCAAATCATTGCTCAAACATAATCAGATGTATTCCTTTTTGAACTAACTAATTACTGGTGGAAAAAAAAATACAGGATTCCAACTCAAATAACTATTTTAAATTCCATGACTTTTCCTGACCAACTTTATACAAATTCTGTGACCTTCACATCCCTTACAGTATAGCACAACAACAAAATGAAACAGCACTTGACTTATTATAAACAAATGCTATAAATTCATTTACATATGCACAAATTCCCTGACTTTTTGACAAATTTCCTGACTTTCCATGCTGTTTTTTCCTGACTTTTCAGTTATATAGAAACCCTGAAAATAGATTGTTTATGATAATGTGCAGCTTATAAATTGTGAAGAAAGTCAACTGACCCCTAGCAATGCAGTCAAAAGCCAGTTTACATCTGATAAAGGTTATGCTGAGCATATGGAAAAACGAGCTATGAATTGATATATCAAAATAAGACTATTAATACAGAAAAATACTGTTCCCAACTTAATAACCTGAAGGCAGCCATTGAAGAAAAACAGCCAGCATTAACAAGAAGAAAAAGCTGCTTTCCAGTATGACAATGCAAGACTGTATACATCTTTGACCATTGAGAAAAATTATTGGAATTTGGATGAAATGATTTGGATGTCATCCTCATATCTTGCAGTTTCTTATCACCAC